CCCTAGTTGTCTATGCGTCTAGTATGTGCTTATGCTTTTTTATTTCCTATCTTACCGTTTCTATACTCACTTTAGTTAACCATGTTTTTCATGCTCAGTTTTGTTAGAAAGAGATGACATGAACGTTTCATGAAAATTTTAATGTATTCATGTGATGTTTTCTTGGTTTTCCTTGCCAGATTAATATGAAATCAGAAAAATGTCGATGCAGATCAAAGAAAACAAGACAAGGTCGTTACCACAAATTAGTTTGAATTCTTGGAAGCCATTGTATATTTATAGATGAAGTTGAGCTATTAGGAATCCTTATATGAGCTCTGTTTAGAGAGAGCCGCACAAGTCAAACCATCAATGACCATGAAAATTATTCTGTTCCATTACATCTCATTCATGTGATGTTTTCTTGCTTTTACCGAAAAAGGCTTTCGCCCCGCTTTATAAATAAAGCAAACCGCCAGAGTGCACACATACAAGGACTAGTCCAAACACACACACTCAAATCTCAAAAGAGGAAGTACAAAAGGTTCTGTTGAGGGCACGTCTCAACAAGCCCAAACAAAAAAGGAAAAAAAAGGGGCGCTGGAGAACTCGTCAGGCGCCTAATCTGGCTCCGGTGGAGGCGGAGGGGGCGGCGGCGACAGTCGGACGGCCATCGAGCGAAGGTCGGCGATGAAGGCGGAGATGGCGTCCCGGTCCTGTGGGCGGCTAAGCGGCCGCCAAAGCTGCAAGTAACCAGACAGTTTGAAGAGAGCGTTAGTAGCCCGTCGAAAAGGAGAAGGGAAGAAGACAAGGTGGTTACCACAAATTGCATCCGTGAGAGCTCTCGTTCTCCACTTTTAGTTACTTAATACTTGGAAGCCATTGGATTTTTACAAATGAAGCTGAGCTTTTAGGAATCCGTTATGAGCTCGGTTTAGAGAGAGCCGCAACAAAGGTTAGAGCCCTGGGTGTTGGATAGTACTGAGCCAATTAGCAGTTTTGTAGTGTGTGTGAGCAAATGCCAACAAATGATGGTGTGCTAGGGCCAATTTCCCTTATCTGATTTTATTTATAATCTGAATAAATAGGTAGGGGCAATACATTTAATGGCATGATATGATTTCCAACTCTAGTGCGTATTTGCACATTACCCAACCCTCTATCGATCTGATATGGTACCCTACTCCTGTGTTGGGGACACTTGGAGGCAGTAAGCTGTTGCAGGATTGTATGGCTCGCTTATATTACCTCAAGACATCTAGAGTAGCATTTTTTACGTGGAACTTGTTTGACTTTAATGCAAAGGTTGCTCATTGGCTGTCTAAAGAAGCCAAACCAGCTGCCATATACTCAGGGCAGCAGACACTGAAAGAAGAATAGCAAAAATCTGCAACTTACCCAATGTTTGTTCATTCACCTTGACTCTTTCTGTTATTCAAACATTTCAGCCATACACCATGTTCCTTCCATGTAATTTGCACTAGAAAATTTGTTTGATATGATATTAATGAGCAAGCAATTTGCATTACAGGTTGTGTCATATTCCTAGGCTACTGCTGTTACAGTGAAAGAGAGAGAAAGAATGGGGCAACTAAT